TCTATTTCGAGATAGATTCATCTTGAAGTGGAATCACTTGTATATTCGTCAGGCACAGAACTTCAATCATAGGACAACCCACACGTTTGACCTATGACGTCAGCGCCAGTTATATAGTGGTAACTCGTCTCACTTAGTGGAAATTTCGAATGAGTTATGAAGTAATTAAATTGTTTAGATTCACAATTTTTAGGAAAACTAATCGCAGTAAAACTCTAAAGAATGCTAATTTTTTATGTTGTTTGGAAACAGCGAACATCAAATACTGAACTTTTACTTATTAATTTTTTAAAAAAAGAAATAGGATTATTTTAATGAGGCGATCCGATTCACAGAATGTTCTAATTCTTTTCAATATTTGACGCTAACTGCCGATCATCAGGTTATTTGTAATCCTGTTCGTGGGGTAGTGAGAAATTATGTCGCCATCTTCGCTACGATTTTTTTTTCTTCTTTTTTATTTAAATTTAAATGATTTATCAATTATTTTACTTATTGTCTAAAATAATTACGTGCAAAATAGTTAAATAAGTAATATATTAGTGGAAAAAAACTAACAGGTTTTGAAAATAGTAGGAACAAAATAATTTAAGCTAATGAATTATATCATTTTGCATAGATTACACCTCGAATTTTATAAATAAATACATTTTAAAAGAGTTAAGTTTAAATTCAATATTTTGTCACGTTTGGTGAATTAATAATTACATTGTTTGTTTTTCAGATATTAAATAAATGAAAGTTCTTTTGATTTTCATGCTTAAAAATTATTTCACTTTGATAATAGAAAATCTATTTCCTTAGCTGTTAGTAAACTTGATTTTATAATAAATTAAACTTTTAAAGATATCTTCATTTGTTGCTATTAATATATTTACGATAAAAAATCATACTTATTTCTTAACGTTTTCCTCTCAGAGAGCAGAACACTTTACCTGTGTCAACACTTCGCATGCTTTCACCATAAGCATGTGGAGAGTCATAGGAGAAGAAAATACGTTAGTTTCTGTCTTGATTTTAAACAGATAAGAAACTTTTAAGTTAGAAAATTATTTGGAGCTGAAAACTATATTGAACATGGTTCTAAAAGAAAGAGTTCAGGAAATTGAAAAAAAATATTAAGAACCGATGTTCTCACCAGATAGCGTATTCGAACACGATTTTGAATTATGTCTGTTTTCTACAAACACGCATTTTGATCTGTGTCCATTTTCGTAAACATGCATTTTGAGCTGTGTCCATTGTCTTAAACACTTCTTTGATTTTACACTTATAAAAAATATGTAGAATCGTGTCAATTTTCTTAAACATGCATTTTGAGCATTGACACAAATTTTTCTTTGTACGGAATAAATTGCTCATTGACAAGGAATATTTTCTATTTAATTTAAATTGATTTAATTTAAAAAATTCATATAATGGTGATTTCATAGTATTTTCGTAGGTTTTGTGCTCGTTTATTTGCTTTCCCTATCCCAAGGTTTTGCAGAATTTTTTTTTTAAATTACTTATTAAGATTTATGTGGAAAAGGTTTATATGTCCCTTATTTCGTTTCCTTAAAAAAATATTTTCGTTTTCTGTTTTTGTGTACCTTATCGTAGCATTAAATAAAAAATGCATCATTAAATTTTAAAAAAATGCTATAGGAATAATTTATTTGTCCCTTTTGGATGAAAGGTTAGAAATTTCAATACTTTTAATTTATTCAAAAAGGTTTTTAGTGCAAAAATGCTCGTTACTATATAAAAATAAAAAAAATTCTGACACAATGTTGCCGTAAGGTTACATGTTCTCTGAGATTTTGTGGTAATGCTCCTTGTTAATGAGAAGCTTGCAAATATGAAAATATTATTTTATAAACACAATTATCGTGATTATGATTTATTAGACTTCGTGATCGAAATTCTTGAATTCGCCAACTGGAGAAACATTGATCGGAAGTAGTTCACAACAAGTAGTTAATTTACTGTAGTCGCTACTTTAATCAGTAGTTTGCTACTTTTTTAAAAAGTAGTGCAACTAATTTTTGGAATTTGTTAGGTAAATCTTATCGGGTCCGTTCCGTCAAAGAAATAAAATGGCCCTGAGGCTGTTAACAGAAATTTATTTTAAATCACGTTTAACTAACTAGCTATTACGAAAAATAGATAATTAATCATTTTGGTCACATGTTTACAGAAGGAATTGCACACTCGCGAAACGTTGATGTTTTTTAAAAGGAAGGGAGCGAAATTTCGGTTTACAGAACATAAAAAAATAAACGGACCACTCTGAACAACTTTAATGATCGGATCTTTACGTTCTAGGACTCAATCTAAATGGTTCGAGGGGGTGATCTCATATGCGGTAACTAATTACTGCAGACGAAAGTTTAAGTTCGAATTCAGACACAAATACATACTTTCATCGAATAAACATAGCTTTCTTTCAACCTCAATTTCTCTCCCCAAAAATATAGGATGCAGCCGCAATCTAGAAAATGTGGTTCCTATTATAGTATGGTCAGGTGAGCCAAAGTTTGGATCCCCTAACATTTGTTTTACATATTTCAACCTCGAGAGCTTTTTAAGCGGCTTGAAATGCACACAATTTGCACCCACTTATTTGTTTGTTCAAAGAAAATTCTGTGCAAAAAATAAATTCTAGTAAATATTTATTATTTTTCATTAGTTTATTTAATAATAGTCGAAAAAATTTCGAACTGTAAGGTATAAAATTTTTTACACCATTTTAAAGTATGTAATTTTATTTGGCAAAGTACAAACTTTGAGCGAAATCGAAAAAATATTTCCTGAGAAATCAAAATTTAAAAATGTCGCATATTTAATTTTTTTTTGTATGTTTTGTTCGTTTACGTCGCACTAGAGCTGTGCAATGGGCTATTGGCGACGGTCTGGGAAACATCCCTGAGGATGATCCGAAGGCATGCCTTCACAATTTTGATCCTCCGCAGAGGGGATGGCACCCCCGCTTCGGTAGCCCGACGACCTGCACGCGAAGTCGAGCACTTTAAAGTAGAGCAGTTTAACGGGGACCAATACCGCACACCCTCGGTCCCTAAGCAGACTGATCCAAGTGGTCACCCCCCAGCACACTGACCGCAGCCAGTGATGCTTGACTTCGGTGATCTGCTGGGAACCGTGTCTTAACGATCAGTCCTTTGCAGAACTCGTATATTTAAAATTATATTTCTCGAGAACTATTCTACATCTTTCGCTCAACTTTTGTATTTTGCTATATAATATTGCATACTTTAAAATGTTGTAAAAAATCTTATACCTTACAATCATACTTTTTTCAACTATTATTAAACAAAATACTAAATATTAACTAAAGCAAATTTTTTGCACGAAATTATCTTTGGATAAACGAATTTTATAGCTGTGCGAAAATTTTTTTCAATTCACTTGAAACTTTCTCGAGATATGGCGAAATACGCAAAAAATAACATTATGAGGTCCACATTTTGAATCACTTTCTGAACCAAACTAAGGGATAATATTGCCCAGATTGCAGATACCCCATATTTAGAGGGAGGGGGGAGCAAAAATCCGAATCCATTGAAAGAAGGGTATGTTTATTCAGAGAAACTACTTTTTGTGACTGATTTCATAACTTAAAATATCGTCAGCACTAATTAATTATCATATATGAGGTCAACTCTTCGAACCATTAAGATTTAGTCTTACAATGTGAAAATCCGAACATTCGGGATCAAAAAGTAATCAGAGTGGTTCATTTTTTTTGACGCACTGTATTGATTTTTATAGAGGAAATAAAAGAGCATTTAGCAATAAAAAATTGCAAGTACATTGATAGCATTTACAAGTATCATGGTCCCGCAGTGGACTGATCGTTAAGACACGGTTCTCAGCAGATCACCGAAGTCAAGCATCACTGGCTGCGGTCAGTGTGCGGGTGGGTGACCACTTGAATCAGTCTGCGTAGGGACCGAGGGTGTGCGGTATTGGTCCTCGTTAAACTGTGCTACCGTAAAGTGCTCGACTTCACGCGCAGGTCGTCGGGCTACCGAAGCGGGGGTGCCATCCCCTCCGCAGAGGATCAAAATTGTGAAGGCATGTCTTCGGATCATCCTCCGGGATGTTTCCCAGACCGTCGCCAATAGCCCATTGTGCATCTCTCGTGCGACGTAAATTAACAACAACAGCAAGTATCATGGCCGTGATAGCCCAGTCGTTAGAGAACCGGACTGTGGTTTGAAAGGGCCGGGATTAGGTCAGTGACTCCGGAGAAACCCACTGAGTATAAGTGATACACGTGCTTGTTAAATTCATGAAACCAAAAGAATTGTGGTTGGTTGCTGAGCAGTACCATGGGTACAGGGATCTGGAGAAGATTTCCTTCTTCTTCAGATCTATGTCTTAATTAAGGAAGGGACTTCAAGATGCAATCCCTTCTGCAGAGGTTTAAAAATTGTGATGGCATTTATTCGAATCATACTCAGGAATGTTTCCCAGACCGTTGTCAATAATCCATTGTGCAGCTGCAGTGTGACATGAATAACGTGCCTCTCTAACTATCGCCATCATGGCATACTAAATGATATTAGAGATCACTCGCACTGGCTCCACATTCGCATAAGTGATATTTTGTTATGCACTGAGAAGAGATTATCCCTTTTCTTAGATTGGAGAAACTTGCTTTCTCTATGCCCTATTCGTAATTGCAATGCTCGAATACGCCATTCGGAAAGAAGAGAAGTTTTATGTCTCGGCACTTTTCTTCTTTTCAGTTCCTATGAATGTACTGCGTTACTTCCCTCTTTCCTAATATTTTTCGTATTTAATTGAGAAAAGTATTTCGTAAATTTCTATGACGTTTTCTTTAGAGTTATGTTCAATGTTGTTTTTAGTTCCATATAGTTTCATAACCTAAAAGTTTTTAATCTATTTGAAAATCAAGACAGAAACTAAAGGTGAAACTGAAAACAAGGTGAAGGCATGCAAAGTGTTGCCATAGGTAAAGAGCTCTGCTGTACGCTTGTACGCCATCTGTAGCCCATTTTGATGACCAAAAGTAAAGAATTTTAGCACCGCCCCTAATATCGGTATTTACTTAGTTCGTTTTGGCAACAATCTATTGCATTCATGTTGTTTTGATCGTCGGTTGAACTAATTTTCTGGAAGAAAGATGGTAAGATCATATTGTAATCTTTATTAATCTTTGTTTTATTACAATTAAATTTGTTTATTGGTGTATTTTAAGTATGGAGAATTATCTTTTCCTTTAATTCCATTTGTAATTTTTTGTATTGATCTTAAACAGTTAAGATGGTTTTCACATAATTATTATCCATTCTATCACCAAATGAATGTTTTCCTTTTTTCTAATATATATCTTTAGTTAAACACGTTACTGTAACATTTGTTTGATTAGCAATTTGTTAATTACAGCTAATAAAGTTCTACTTGACAACTAAATTTATATAACAGTATATTTTAATTTTGTAATTTGTATAATTTCTAGGGTCGTGTGCGAACAAAGACCGTAAAAAAGGCCTCTCGGGTCATCATTGAAAAATATTATACTCGCCTGACGGTTGATTTTCACACAAACAAAAGGATTTGCGATGAAATTGCCATCATTCCTAGCAAGAAGCTACGAAACAAAATCGCAGGGTAAAGTTTCTTCATAAAATCTATTTCAGTATTCTTAAGAACATTTTACCGTACAAGTAATTGTACAGCATTAGACTTTTAGTATATCTGTGTTTTAATTGTATACAATTCATTGATTATTCAAAATAGAATTTTTGACTCGATTATTTGAAATCAGGGTTGGCAAGGTAAGGTTTAGGACAGAATGGATTAATCCAAGGTTTAAACTGTCTTAAAACCCCATTGTCCAAAGCTCTTTTACTCAAATTATGTCACAATTTTATCTGAACAATATTTGAAAGGTAAAATAAACATAGAACTAATAATATTGATAATTAAATCTACTAGAGAATATTTGTTATTAAAAGTGTAATGTTTTATCAATATTGTTTGACTCTTCAATTTAAACTACAAACAAAGGAAGATTAATCACAAGTTCATTTGGTCCTCTTAACGTTCAATAGCACATAACTGAAGTTTGACTTTGACAAATTTAGTTTTTTGAAACAATTATTATTTTTATTTAATATTGCTTTATTTATCCTTATGCAAAAGCATAATTAAACAGTATTAAAAGCATATTTATATTTCAAGGATAAGGTATTCACTTTTGCCGTTCAATGAATTGTGGAGCTTCAAAAATTATAAACCTTTTCCTATTATATTATTTTCCTTTGTTAAGTTAAAGTAAGTTGTATAAAAAATTTCAAATATTTATGTATACATGTAATGTAATTTTTATGTGTACAATGGTTACACATATAGAATTTTTACCTTTTACCAAAGTTCAAGGTTTTGGACGCTTTAAGACAATTAAGTACAGTTTTAGTCAGTTTAAGACAGTAAAACCCACCTGTCCTGTCCAAAACCCCTTCCCTGTTTGAAATAGAATATTGATTGTTGGTTCAATGTTATAAATTTAATATATATGTTGTAAATAATCCTGTTAAATATTCCATTGAAGCAATTTGTAAATTTTTTTTGAAGATTTTTTTTTTCAGTTGGTTAAGATTTGTAACAATACTGTTCATCTCTTACAAATTATTTTGTAACTAGACAGATAATAGTTCATAAGCTTAAGTAGAACCACAATGATCCAGGGTTTGAAAAAACCCGGGGATTTTTGAAAAAACCCAACCCGCCTGGGTTTTATTGAAAAAACCCGGGGAAAATTGAGTTTTATTTGATAAAACCCGGGGAATTTGGGTTTTTTCATTTAGTGCTCATAAATTTCACTGTGAAAATATTTTTATCCATTAAATAGAGTTGTATAAGTAAACACTAAAATTTCATCTGACTTTTACCTGTAGTAAAATTAAACTGGAATAAATATTTAATGGTCTTCCATGTTTTTATAATACGATTAATAGAAAGTGAAATTAAAATTACGTATAATTAAAAGAGTATCAGTTACTTGCCCCTTTTTTCAAATATTTAGATAAATATATGCATTTTTAGATACATTTAAACTTTATAGTTTCAAAAGACAAATTAATCTTAAAATACATACACTAAAAAGCATATATAAAAAGTTATAGCTTATTTTTAAAATCAGAAAATAAAACTTTAAATTTGTTTATTGTTGTTTAATGTATCACTTAATAGAAATTTTTTTTTGTTTGCTTTCAATATTTTTAAACATGATTAAAAGAAACAAAATAAATTGTATTCAAATGAAATCTTAAAAATAATATTTAAAAAATCTTAAAAGTAATATTTTAATTTTTAACTGTTTTTTAATTGTGATAAACTTTCTCCAAATAGTTAAAAATTGTCAGCAGATGTTAAGAGTTAACTTAAAAAAA